AGCTTTCTGCAAAGGATGACGCTCCAATAAGAAAGTTCCTCATTGATGTCGGTCAGCAGACAGACAGAATGTTTCAGTCGTTCAACATTTCAAAGACGGGCTACAACATCAGCTGCATTCAACAACTCGCACGTTTTATCATCGAGAGAGTGACCAAATATCAGGAAGCACGAGGGAAATACGTGTTCACGGATGAATTCGTCATGGATTTGGTTTATTCCATCTGTAAGCGCATAAACATGACGACCGCTGACCCTGTAAACTATGTTGAGAAGCAGAGATCGGAGTACTATAGAGTGTTCCAGAAATACTGTCGTGAAGCTGCATCAGCTGCTGTTTTTGCTCAGAACATCTGTCAGAAACTCATAGAGGCCATTGAGCGGAGCGTCTACAAGAAGACTGCAGCTGACCTGGCAGACGTAATGAGAACAAACTGTCCATCGCTGAATGAAAACAGGTCAAATCTGGAGAAGCACATCCTGACAACACTGGCAGAAAATGAGAATTGTTCTACATGCATGAACTACAACCCCAAAAACCCAGAGATTGGATATGAAGTCGGTCGATACATCACTGATCATTTCACTGTCAGTGTTTTACCCAAGTTGAAGGAGAATAGTGAATCACTGCAGCAGAACATCATGGAGAAAGCATGTGACTCTACTTTGTATTTTCAAGTGAAATGTGTTGATGCCGGTTTGTGGTTGAAGCATTTCACACAGCAGCTCTCAGATATGCTGGTCTTCTCTGAAGTAGACCTCAGCGGCGTGGAACACGATGCTGTTGATGATTTCCACCTCCTAGTTGATGTGCTAAGGCATGAGCTTTCTGCTGTAATGTCTGAGATCAGCAGGAGATTCGGCATCAGAGCTCTTCCAGAAAATGTGGACTTAAAGCTAACTGGGGATTCTCAGTGCTGATATTTGCACATATATTGGTGACAAGTGGTCAGGATTTTTCTACACTAGATATGAAGGAGGAGCTTGTGACCTCTGACCTCTCTGATCGGCCTTACTGGGTTTCTGTTCAGATTCCAGAAATATCTAGAAAAATACCTTACTAAAACATTTGAGATGGCAGATGAATGGCGAGTATACTCGAAACAGGATGCTATTGAGAGTTTGGACAAATACTGTACATCTAACAGGGAAACTGAAGAATGAGACACTTATGAGAAATGAGTTTATACACTCTAAAAAATACTGGGTTAAATACAACCCAGTGCTGGGTAAAATAGGGACAAACCCAGCAATTGGGTTGTGGACTTCTGGCATACTCTTTTCAACATACTATGCTTTGAGACACTTTTTTTTAATCTCACATACTATTTAGGACGGATAGTATGAACATTGGGACGCAGGGTTGGACTTATTGGCCAAATCGCAGCCTAAACCCTTGCGGTCTTCCTCTGAGTCCACACTTTTGTGACGTAATGCCGCTTTGACCGTCGGGTAGAAGTCTGCTGCGAAAACATGAGATGATCTGAATTTCAAAACAACATATTTCTGAGCATATGCCATATTGATAAAGCTCAAAATGTTTCATGTATTTCGTCAGTTTATTACTAATCATTATTATTTGATGAAAAAAAAAAGTACGAATATTCATAATAGACTGTTGATGATATTTGATATATGTGTGATGCTGCTGTTAAATCTCAGCACTGGTGTTTAGATCATTAGAAAGCGTGAGAAATAAACAATAGCTAGTTGATTTGATTTGATTGCTTTTATTATTTGAAACTTCGTTTTGGATTAAAAAAACTTAAAGAAAAAAAAATCGTTATTATTATAAAAACCCCCATAGATAGTAGATTTTCATTCACGCTGTAGATTATTTTAGTGATTTTCAAATGACGAAGCTTATCTTCTCAGCAAACTCATCAAGACATAACCAGACGACATTCGTCGCAGCGACATGCCAAATAACATCCAAAAGTTACTTTATGATTCCCATATTTAAAGTGGTGATGTTATAATTGTACCTATGTTGTTGGGACAGAGGTAGAGTGACTGCCACCAATAATGAGAACTTGAAACTTCTCCTGGTGATATTGAATGGAATAACGTTGCTGTTACACCAGGTGGCGCCAAGCTGTTCACATTTATGTCTGTGCACTGTTTAAATACAATATACAATCCACACAATAACAAAACTGAACTAAGGGCTAAATTAGAGCTAGGGCTAAGTTAGGGCTAATTTTGATTCAAGCTAAAAAAAAAAATAAAATAAA